CTGAGTCCGGAAGTATTTTCAAACAACCAAATTTTACCTTTTTTGGGAAACAAACTAAAAACCTGTCATCAACCAATTGTTGGGAAGTGTGTGTGGACAGGTGGGAGGAGCGACTTCTCTTTCTGAATCATCATTTGCTCTGAAACCTGAACTTTATGAAACAGTGGAGCGCCTTGATAGTGGAAACCAGCCAACACCTGCTTATGGTTGGTCGTGATATATTTAGGCAAGGGGGAAACATGGTGATTTAAATAATAAACCACCTGTATTGAATTTATAACTGAGACAAATATAAATATACTGTTTGACCAACAAGTGTTGGGTGTCTGAATCCAGTTCTCAAAGGTTTTAGAAATGATTCTGCTCCAATCCAGCTGGTTCTCCCAACTGAACTACCTCCTTCCCACATCAACAAGTTCTTCAAAGGCCTGGTAATAAACCTTTGGATTGATTTAGTTCTGCTACACCAAATAAACATATAAAACATGCAGGACACCGACATGGTGGGCTGGTATTGGACACCACTTTCTAAAACAGACAAACAGTTTTGCCGTTGTCGGTCCACACCCAAGAATTACTCATCTTGCAAAAGCGTAAGGAAGCAAACATAGCATGTTTTGCATGAAACAGATCAAAAATAGACTTTTTTTTTATTAAAAACAACCTGTAAAAGGCACCAGATTTTATTTTCTTACAGCTTGTATTTTGTGTTCTGTCTTACAAGAAAATATACACAAATTCCTTAACAATTTAATCCAAATTACATTTTCTACCTTTCCATCGATTCTTTCCTATCTTCTATTTCGTACATTAGTTTTTTTGTGCATTGTTGCTGCTGTGATTCAGAAGATTCTGAATTATTCTTCCTAGAATGCGGCTACGGCGGTTTTACAGGATCTATACATAACGTGGCTGTTTGACATTTAGCATCTGCTCATCAGACTGGTCTTCTTTCGCCGCTGGTGCATTTTATATATCTAGACCACACGTCAGAGTAAGACCCGGCGTTGTGTTTACCAAACTAGCAGCCAACCCTTTGACCACACACACATGGTCGTGTAGTAAGCTATCTGGCCAACAATGGCCGCCATGTAGAAGCTTGGATAAATAGGAGCTTTGATGGAGGCTGCTGGGAGTTCCAGAGCAGGCGAGAGGGGGGCATGCTGGGATACCTGGAAGGCCAGCCGGAGGTGGCGGCGGTGTGCAGAGTAGTTTGGGAGCAGTGGAGAGAAGTGGAGGTCTTGATGGTTTGTGGGAAGGGTGTTTTTATAGAAGCAGACACGTCATCAGACTGGAGCCACAGGGCACACTAGGTGCAGTCAGCCTGGAGACAGAGAAAGTAAACTTGCAAGAGTCAGTGGATGAAATAAATTCACTAGGTGCTTAAATAATCCCGAGAAATCCCGGAGAACTTGTTAGACTGAGTGAGGAGAGATGGAGAGAAGGGGGATTAGGTGCCCCTCTGCAGCCTGTCATAAATGAACCTTGTTCTCTGGTTCACCACAGGACTAACAGTGGCTGTGTGTGCACAGGTTGTGTACTCTACGGCCTGGTAGTCCGAGTCGGCTTCTACATTTCCATCCTCCTGCTTCGCCTTCCTTGTTTTCTGGAGATGGGCCTGAAGAGAAAAGCAGCACATCTGGTGGAAAAAGGGAGATAGCTGAGGTTTAGAGGACGCTAAAGAAGGAATCCGTTGGAGTAGCACCAGATAATTTGTGGTAGAGACGCAAATGTGTGTCAACTCTTCGGAAAAAATCTGACTACATTGGAAGAGTGGCCTAGTCAGAATCAAAGTGTTGATTACACTTATGCCTTACAGATGCTCTCCATCCAATCTGACTGAGATTGCAATATTTTTCAAAGTAGAACGAGCAAAACAGTTCTGTCTCTTGACGTTCAAAACCGATAGAGTTACCCCAGCAGACTTGGAGCTGTAACTAGAGCAAAAGGTAGTTCTACATCTATATGTGTCTATCTATATTTACATAGATATTAAAATATAGATCTTCTATTGACAGACAGACATTTTCTTTCCCTGCGTACATACGTGTGTAAGTAGTCACTTGTAGTTTTTCAGTATTTTTCTGAATGGCTGCTCTGTTAGCCAAGCAGCTACATTTTGTTGCCAAATTCACTGCTGTCTTTGTGCGATGACAATAAAGTGTAAGTCTCTAAGTCTGCTGTTTGTAGCTGGTGGATGTTGAAAGAGCTTGCATTGTTGTTAGCATCTTTAGCCAAGCTAAATAGGTGCTACTGACATATTTAGCTGAAATATGTCCTACTGACATATTTAGCTGAAATATGTCCTACTGACATATTTCCCTCAACAAACCCTCTTTAAACCCTTTGTTTTACTTTTAGGAGAACGTTAGATACAATATATCACTCTGAGACTTTAACATTTGACAAAAGAAAAGGGTAAATTAGCCTAGCTGTCCATGACCTACCCTCATGCTAAGCTAACGGTGTCCTGACTGATCCAGGAGTTGGATAAATTACATGTCTTTGAATGTTAAACTCTCTTCTTCTTTGACAGTGTGTTGGTAGACCACCAGTTGTAAACGATGGAAAGAGAGGGCTAACCATTTAATGTGCTAACACAAATAGTTGTGGTTTTGGCTGACACGTCGACAGAGGACAGCAGACAAAGATGGTAGCTGGTAGAGCTGCAGGTCAAGCTTTGAAGAACCCAAATGTTGCTGAAATGTTACTTTTTCCATCATCGGAGCGGCCAGTTGTCTTTGGCAACGATTGTCTAGACAGGTTTCTGGGTCATCGTGACTAAAATGACATCAGTGTTTACAGAGTGTGTGTCTAATTTGGCCCTAGTTCTTCTGTCTCGCTCTAACCCACAATAAAGTTTCCCTCAACGAGTTCAGCATCCATCACAGGGACATTTTAGGGGCTGGTTTCGCTTTAAAGAGTTTGTAAACGGCGTAATGAATCACAAGAAAGGAGTAAGATTGCAAATTTAGCATAGTTAATATGCTGGCGTTGGTTAACCAGTTATTTCAACACAGAGACACAAACACTTTGTTTCCCAGCATCTTCATAATGTTCGTCTGAGCCGAGAGAAGCAGGTCCAGACAAACTCTGAGAACCGAGGGAGATCAGACAGATGCCCACGCTTCTCACTTATGAGGCCCAGCCCGTCTGTTTTCCGCAAAATCACATAATTGCTGCATTTCATGGGTTTCATTTAAGAGACGATTAATTTAAAAAAGTGACAAAAAATTTTCCAAAAACACTATAGCTTGTTGTTGTGCTTGTATCGATGTTATCAGGTTATTTCGAGCACTTTTTGACTTCAGTTTCCAAATGTTATATTGTGTTTGTTTTATGTAAACATTCATAGTGGCGCGCGCCAGCGTACGTTTTGCTTTTACACTTTGAAATAATTAAAACTCTGCAGATTCGACTGTGTCTAACGGACTGGAGTATGCCTGCTTTCTCTGTTATTATCTATGTTTTGAAGTTGTTTAAAGTTAAAAGTCGACTCATAATATTCAAAAATCACACTGTTGCTATATGTATGGCAACATTAACCATTTATCATGTTAAATACCCAACAAGAGGAAACAAGCAACGACTTTTCTAAGTTGGGAACATCAATATTTTGTAAAAGAAGTCATGTTAAATTGGATCCTCAATGTGTTATATTTCAGGGTTACTGTTCTCTGTGTGTTATCACTTTAAGATGTTTTCATATTTAATTGTCAAAGTCCCTGTGAAACGATCTGTGAGACATTTCCACAGCCACATAAAATATTCATAGAATGAATAAAGAGTTGCCTTTAAATAAATGTGCAAATTTAAATTTTTTCCTCCTTTTTTCTTCATCAATGTCGCACTTAAATGTTTCAGATTGTAAAACTCAGCCTCATTTATGTGTGAACAGCCCTTTCAACGTCATGCCACATCATCTCAATCAGATTTAAATCCAGACTTTAACTAGGTCACTACTAAAAGTTGCTCTATTTCCTAAAGCAGACTCGCTGGTTGGCTTTGGATAATCTTCTCTATAAAAAAACGGCAATTGAGTTTAAGGTCATAAACTGATGTTTATCCTTCAGGATTCTCCGACAAAAAGCAGAATTTGTTGTTCAAATAGTTGCAGAAAGTCCTTCAGATCCCGAAGCAGCAAACAGAATACAGACCATCACCTCTGCTCTGTTTCATGAAATTCTGTCACTTTTTCTTGAGACGTGAGAAGAAACAAACCTTTCAAAAAGACCCACATGCGTCCTGCATGTTTGTTTTGGTCAGCAGAGGCTTTGGCCTCAGAAATCTCCCATGTTGGCTCAGCTTCTCTTTCTTATTGTTGAAACATGAACACTGACTGTAACTGAGGCGACGGGGCTTCAGATGTTGTTTTGGTACGTTTTCAACCTTCTGGACTCTCATAGAGTTTTTCCTGTCTGGCCGGTCGCTCACATCAACGTCTCACATGTTTCCATGTGTTCACAGTGGCGTCACAAAGCTGCAGAAATGACATCATAACCCCTGATAGACGGGCCAATGATTATTTATAGGTCGAATATAATGTGTTGCCTTTTAAGGCTTTTTGGTCTCCTTCGTTTTGTCAGACAGATTTTATTTAAGTGATTTCTTGAGTCATGTCCGGTGTGACTCTGTGTTGCTCTGTGATGGACTGGTGACCTTTAACCCTGCCAGTGGTCACTGCAGACAGGCAGCTACCTCAGATGGATGGATGGTTTCTTAATTTTGGGTGAAGCTAGTTAAATTTAATAAAATAAAAACAGTTAATTCATGATTTAACAAGGGACTCAAACACAAGTTGAGGTATTTATGTTCAGCCAACAGGAAAGGCAATTTATTTTCTGCTCATGTGTGTCATTCACTTCCACCTCCTTCTTTTGTGTACGCTGCCACCACAAGTAAATTCCCCCACTGTGGGATCAATAAGATAAGTTTGCATTTGTAACGTAAGGAAATGCACAGGATTTTGTCTCATCAGTGTTGATGTCTCACTTTCTCAGGCGTGGCTGCAGAAGTATGGCTACCTGCCTCCAGGTGACGTCAGAGCCCAGGCCATCCGCTCGCCGCAGTCGATTGAGACGGCGATCTCAGCCATGCAGAGGTTTTACGGACTGACCGTCACTGGAACCATAGATACCAACACGCTAGAGTGAGTTCTGAATCTGAACATTTAGTCATTCAGAGAAATGTTGAGGGTTTTTTTAAAAGTCCTATTATACTTTATACTATAGGGCTTTTTGTTTTTTGTTTCGAAATGATAAATAGCTATTTTCTGCATTTCAAATAGCAAGAAATGTAACTATAAAGAGTTTTTTTTCTTCTTCTTTTTAGTTAAAGAGATATTGCTCCTGTTTTTCAACCCAGCTGTAACATTTTTCACACTGTTTCCAGAGCAATGAGTCGGCCGCGGTGTGGCGTCCCGGACAAGTTCGGCCCAGAGCTGAAAACCAACCTGAGGAGGAAGAGATACGCCAGGCAAGGTCTGAAGTGGGACAAGTCTGAGGTCACCTTCAGGTCAGAATTCACCCTCATTATCGTCTCCTTAGTTAACTGTCTTTGGTGTAAATTAAGACCATCTAACAGCTTTCGTTAGAGATTTTCAGGTCTGTGATCTGTTAGTTGTGCCTGGTTTGTTCTTAAACGGTCTCTCCTCCGTTCTCCCCCGGCAGCATAGAGAACTACACCCCCAAAGTGGGCGAGAGAGCCACGCAGGACGCCATCCGAAAGGCCTTCAAGGTTTGGGAGAGCGCCATCCCTCTCACCTTCAGAGAGATTCCCTTCAGCCAGATCAGAGGGAAGGTCGACAAGTACGCTGACATCATGCTGTCCTTCGCCGACGGCTTTCACGGCGACAGCACCCCGTTCGACGGGGAGGGCGGCTTCCTGGCACACGCTTACTTCCCCGGTAACGGCATCGGGGGGGACACGCACTTTGACCTGGCCGAGCCGTGGACCACCGGCACCGTGGATCAGGGAGGTAAGACGAAAACGACGATCTGCTGCTGTAAAAACTCAATCTACCCATGCATTTCTGACCTTTTGTCTCTCTGTCTCTCTGCAGGAAATGATGTTTTCCTGGTGGCTGTCCACGAACTGGGCCACGCTCTGGGTCTGGAGCACTCCGACGACCCTTCAGCCATCATGGCCCCCTTCTACCAGTGGTTCGAAACAGAAAACTTCCAGCTGCCGGACGATGACCGCCGCGGCATCCAGGCTATTTATGGTTGGTGGTTTACTTCCAGGATGATCTGCTGATGAGTTAATAATGAGGATATTAAAATTAAACACTTTCCGGGTTCAGCCTGGGATTTGATTTAAATATTTTCCTGGTCTGGAGAAAGGGAGAAAAAAAAAAGGAGTATGGAAAATATTTGTGTTTGCAGACTGCATTCCAAAGACAGCTTTCTAACTTCCCTGAGTCATTTCTTCCTCATTTTCTAATTTGTTAGTTATTTATTGAACTTCTTCTTTCCTTGTTTTCATTTTCACTAGTGTTAATTTGTAAACAGTCTGCTCGGGTCCCGTCTTGTGTTTGACATTTCTTCCTTCATTCCTTGTGTGATTCTCCCCTTAAATTGATCCAACCTTCTGTCGCTGTCCTTTCTTTCTTTTCCCTTATTTTCCCTTCATTTGCTCCTTCCACATCTCCTTTCTTACTTTACTTCATTCCTTAAGTTCTTCCTGTCGATCGTGTTTCACATTAAACCAGCCTTGTGCATAAATATCTTGCCGTCAAACCAACCATTTCTCATTTCTCTCTAAATCTCCCCTTCAGGTTCCAAATCCGGCGTTCCCCCTCCTCCTCCTCGCCCCACAAAGCAGTCCAAGCCTGACAAGCCCGACGAAGGCCCCGACATATGCGAGGGACACTTTGACACCATCGCCATCCTGAGAGGGGAAAAGTTTGTCTTCAAGGTACAGGAAGTGAAGTCATTTCCTTGCATCTTCAAAGTGCATCAGCTCGTTTTATTTTTAGGCTTTAATCGTCATCGAAGCAACAGTATTATCATCCTGTTTGATGATAGAAGAGGTGAGAAATTAACCTTCGTGTCTTACTTGCAGGACAAGTGGTTTTGGCGTCTGCGTAACGACAAGGTCTTACCCGGCTACCCCAGGCCAGCCGGTCAGTTCTGGAAGGGACTTCCATCAAACATCAACGCCGCGTACGAGAGGAATGATGGGAAGTTTGTCTTCTTTAAGGGTACGTTCCACCTGGGATTGGGAATAAGTTTACCTCTGCTGCTGTCACTGTGAGTTTATTAATTGTGTCGTCGTTATTTTTGTGTCCAGGTGAAAGATACTGGGTTTACAGCGAGTCCACCTTGGAGAAGGGTTATCCGAAGAGCATCAAAGACCTGGGCGCCGGCCTCCCCAAAGACAAGATCGACGCCGCTCTCTTCTACACGCCAACAGGACAGACGTACTTCTTCAAGGGGACTCAGTGAGTTTTGCTTCTGTTGAACTTAAGATGAAGTTTCACTAAACTCAGGATCCCTCATTTCCTCTTTTTGAACATATTTTTTGTACATTGGTACAGATGTGTCGCCCTCCCTGATTAAGTTGTTGATGAATTGATTTTTTTTTTTTTTTTTTTTACAGCTGCTTAATTGCTGAAAAATGCCTGAAATGAACATTTTCAACAAAATCCCTCCACACATTATTGACATACCCAACAATCCCTTTAAAATGAAATGTAGCTAAATAATGTTGACCTTTCTTTAGGTAGGAGCATTGACTGGGTATTCCATATTTTAGGTTAGATTAAGTAATAAAATGGTTACTAGAAAGCTGCAGCAATGAAAGGCATGTTGGAGTTAGCAAGTATTCGTATTGACCATCAGATTTTCTACCATCACAAACATAAATGACTAACTCCTAATGTAATGAAAACTTCCCTTTTTGAGCTTTTCATGGTGGATTGAAAAAGCTGTGAGTCTGTTTCCTTCCCAAAGACCCAATCAGGGCAAAACTCTTCAAGAACTTTTTGAAACACATTATTATTATTTTCTATAGTATTATTATTTATTATATAGTATTATTATAGTATTATTATTTTCTAAAAAAAAAAAAAAAAAAAAAAAAAATCACCTGGTTTTCCATTCAAATGTGTTGGTCATTTCGCATGATAAAGATCAAAAACACTTGGCTAAATCAAGACAAAAATAGTTCATCAGACTCAAAGTTAACCTTTGGGATCATATTTAGTTGACTGCAATATACATTTTTGCCACTAGATGTCCCATTACTCCTTTAAAACTCATATAACCTTAAAAACAACTGTTGCTTTCTTCAGTGTGTTATTTCTTTACATCATAGCTGTTGTTTCTGTTGATGTTGATAACATGTTGTTTCCATCACATGTAGGTACTACCGGTTCAACGAACAGACTCGCAAAGTGCACAGCGACTATCCAAAGCCCATCAGCAAGTGGAGCGGAGCCCCAGACAACATTAAAGCTACGTTCATGAGCGAAGATGGATGTGAGTGCTCCTTTTTACTGTCCAGGCATGAGCAAAATATGACGACACTGTAATTCATTTGACCAATTTCCTTCTTTTCACAACTGAGTAAATGTATGGAACTTAAGATTTGTCCTCTTCTGTGTCGTCTGTTCCTCCAGCTTACACTTACTTCTACAAGGCCAACAAGTACTGGAAGTTCAACAACCAGCACATGAAGGTGGAGTCCGGCTACCCCAAGTCGGTGCTGCGCGACTGGATGGGCTGCGACAGCGAGGAGCCCAAGAAGGGCCGGACGGTGATCATCATCGAGGAGACGGAGGGCGGCTCCTGGGTGGCGGGCGTGGTCATCCCCCTCCTCCTGCTGGTGCTGGTGCTGCTCACGCTGGGAGCGCTTTTGTTCTTCAGGAAGTACGGCACGCCCCGACGCCTCCTCTACTGTCAGAGATCGCTGCTGGACAAGGTGTAGGCGGCGCGGCGGGGGGCCTGACAGACAGACAGACTGCACAAAGAGGGACAGAGCGACGGAACGGGAGGAGTCCGGAGGAACCGAGAGCGCAGCGAGGATCGGGGAGGAGAGCGATGCAACTGTGGGGAAAGAAAGACCGACTGGGGGCGTTGAAGGGGAGACGGCATGTTGGGAGGTTTGTAAGTGCCACAAAAAAAAAAAAAAAAAAAAAAAAAAAAAAACCCCCCAAAAACAAAAACAAGAAAAAGATTTTTTTTTTTTTTATTTTTTTATTTTTTTTTTTTGGTTTAAA